GGTGTTGTGTTGTGGTGTAGGGGGGTGTGTTGTGGTGTTGTGGTGTGTTGTGTTGTGTTGTGTGGTGTTGTGTTGTGGTGTGTTGTGTTGTGTTGTGTGGTGTTGTGTTGTGTTGTGGTGTAGAGGTTGTGTTGTGGTGTGTGTGTTGTGTGTTGTGTTGTGGTGTGGTTGTGTGGTGTTGTGTCGTGTGGTGTGTGTGGCTGGTGTGTGGTGTGTTGTGGTGTGGTGTGTTGTGTTGTGTTGTGTTGTGTTGTGTCTGAGAGAGAGAGGAGAGAGAGAGAGAGAAAGAGGAGAGAGAGAGAGAGAGAGTGAGAGAGAGAGAGAGAGAGAGAGAGAGAGAGAGAGAGAGAGAGAGAGAGAGAGAGAGAGAGAGAGAGAGAGAGAGAGAGAGAGAGAGAGCCCCTTTACCTGTTGACATCAATTACTATCACAGGTAATTGTTTGGTGTTGATGAGCCAGGTGTGTACTATGTGTGTGTCAACGACTCGCTGATTGGCTGGGGTGTCTGTCTGTCTGTCTGTCTGTCTGTCTGTCTGTCTGTCTGTTTATTGTGTCTGTGTTCAGTCTGTCTGTCTGTCTGTCTGTCTGTTTATTGTGTTCGTTCAGTCTGTCTGTTCGTCTGTCTCTCTTTATCTGTCTGTCTGGTCTGTCTGTCGTCTCTTTATCTGTCTGTTCGTCTGTTTGTCTGTCTGTCCGTCCGTCTGTCTGTTTATTGGTCTTTGTGTCTAGTCTGTCTGTCTGTTCGTTCTCTTTATTTGTTCGTCTGTCTGTCTGTCTGTCTGTCCGTCCGTTCGTCTGTTTATTGTGTCTGTGTCTAGTCTGTTCGTCTGTCTCCTCTTTATCTGTCTGTCTGTCTGTCTGTCTGTCTGTTCTGGTTCTGCCTGGTTCGTCCGTTCCGTCTGTTTATTGTGTCTCGTGTCTAGTCTGTCTGTCTGTCTGTCTGTCCGTCTGTCTGTCTGTTCGTTCGTTTATTGTGTTCAGTCTAGTCTGTCTGTCTGTCTGTCTGTCTGTTTATTGTGTCTGTGTTCAGTCTGTCTGGTCTGTCTGTCCTTATCTGGCTCGTCTGTTTGTCTGTCTGTCTGTTCTCTTTTTCTGTCTGTCTGTCTGTTCGTCTGGTCTGTCCGTCCGCTCCGTCTGTTTTATTGTGTCTGTGTTCAGTCTGTCTGTCTGTTCGTCTTCTCTTTATCTGTCTGTCCGGTCTGTCCGTCTGTTCGGTTCCTCTTTATCTGTCTGTCTGTCTGTCTGTCTTTCGTCCGTCCGTCTGTCTGTTTATTGTGTCTTCGTGTCTAGTCTGTCTGTCTGTCTGTCTTCTTTATCCGGTTCGTTCGTCTGTCTGTCTGTCTGTCCGTCCGTCTGTCTGTTTATTGTGTCTGTGTTCTGGTCTGGCCTGTCTGTCTGTTCGTCTGTTCGTTTATTGTGTTTGTGTTCAGTCTGTCTGTCTGTTTGTCTCTTTTTATCTGTCTGTCTGTCTGTCTGGTTCGTCTGTTCGTTCGTCTGTTTGTCTGTCTGTCTGTCTGTCCAGTTTCGTCTGTTTATTGTGTTCGTGTCTGGTCTGTCTGTCTGTCTGTCTCTTTTATCTGTCTGTCTGTCTGTCTGTCTGTCTGTCCGGTCCGTCCTGTCTGTTTATTGTGCTCTGTGTCTAGTCTGTCTGTCTGTCTGTCTTCGTCTGTCTGTTTATTGCTGCTGTCTGTGTTCAGTCTGGTCTGTCTTGCTCGTCTTTATTCGTCTGTTCTGTTCTGTTTATTGTGTCTGTGTCTAGTCTTGTCTGTCTGTCTGTTCCTGTCTGTTCGTCTGTTTATTGTGTCTGTGTTCAGTCTGTCTGTCTGTTCGTCTCTTTATCTGTCTGTCTGTCTGTTTATTGTGTCTGTGTTCAGTCTGTCTGTCTGTCTGTCTTTTCTTTCTGTCTGTCTGTCTGTCTGTTCGTGTCTGTCTGTCTGTTTATTGTGTCTGTGTCTAGTCTGTCTGTCTGTCTGTCTGTCTGTCTGTCTGTTTATTGTGTTCGTGTCTAGTCTGTCTGTCTGTCTGTCTCTTTATCTGTCTGTCTGTCTGTTTATTGTGTCTGTGTCTAGTCTGTCTGTTTGTCTGTCTTTTCTTTCTGCCTTTGTCTGTCTGTCTGTCTGTCTGTCTGTTTATTGTGTCTGTGTCTAGTCTGTTCGTCTGTCTGTCTCTTTATCTGTCTGTCTGTCTGTCTGTCTGTCTGTCTGTTTATCTGTCTGTCTGTCTGTTTAGTGTGCCAGTCTGTCTTTCTTTCTTGTCTATCTGTCTGGTGTGTGTGTGTGTGTGTGTGTGTGTGTGTGTGTGTGTGTGTGTGTGTGTGTGTGTGTGTGTGTGTGTGATATAACAAAGGTACTCAAACTATTCAACCAGGAGCGAACTCGTAACAATGGTTTTAAATTAGACAAGTTTAGATTTAGGTTCTGTGGCGTCATTTTTTGCGTGTGGCGTCATAGTTTTTGCGTGTGACGTCATCGTTTGCGTGTGGCGTCATAATTTTTTGCGTGGCGTCATAGTTTTGGTGTGACGTCATCGTTCGTGGTTGTTTGTGACGTCATCGTTTGCGTGTGGGTCATAGTTTTGCGTGACGTCATCGTTTGCGTGTGGCGTCATAGTTTTTGCGTAACGTCATCATGTTTATGTGTGACGCCATCTTGATCTTTTTACTTTATTAAATATATATATTAATCCTCTCTCTCTCTCTCTGTTATTTTAGAATTTATTTTTAAAAACGAAAAGGATGAAGTAGGCGGGCAGTAGGCGGGCAGTAGGCGTGGGTAGGAAGGCGTGGGCAGTAGGCGGGCAGTAGGCGCGTGGGTAGGAAGGCGTGGGCAGTAGGCGTGCAGTAGGCGGGCAGGCAGGCGTGGCAGTAGGCGTGGGCAGGCGTGGGAGGAAGGCGTGGGCAGGCGTGGGCAGTAGGCGTGGGTAGGAAGGCGTGGGTAGGCGGGCAGTAGGCGTGGGCAGTAGGCGTGGGTAGGAAGGCGTGGGCAGTAGGCGGTAGGCGGGCAGGTAGGCGTGGTAGGAAGGCGGGTAGTAGGCGTGGGCAGGCGGGCAGTAGGCGTGGGTAGTAGGCGTGGGTAGTAGGCGGGGTAGTAGGCGTGGGTAGTAGGCGTGGTTAGTAGGCGTGGGCAGGCGTGGGCAGTAGGCGTGGGCAGTAGGCGTGGGTAGTAGGCGTGGGTAGTAGGCGTGGGCAGTCGGCGTGTGGGTAGAGCGTGGGTAGGAAGGCGTGTGTGTGGGAGGGGATGGGAGGAAGGCGTGTGTGTGGGGAGAGCGTGGTAGGAAGGCGTGTGTGTGGGAGAGCGTGGGTAGGCAGGCGTGGGGGACGTTCTGGGTAATTATTAACATGTCGGCCAGAGACGTGGTTACAACACTTTAGGGCAACAGACAAGGCTAACTGAAGGGTCTATCTATCTATCTTTCTCTAGATAGATAGAGAGAGAGAGAGAGAGAGAGAGAGAGAGAGGCTTTAAATGGCATAAAATGGGGCTGTGGGGAGGTGAGCTTTGTTATTGTTTTGGTTTGATGACGTAATGATGACGTGTTGATGACGTGTTGGTTGGGATTGTTGCCATATTTGAGGATTGTTTTTTTTTTTTGTCGAGAGGTTGTGATTGGTTCTGGATATGCACACACACACACAGAGACACACACACACACACACACACACACACATACACACACACAGAAACACACACACACACACACACACACACAGACACACAGACTATTCCGTTATAGGGAGGTAAGGGTCCGTTATAGGGAGGTAAAAGTCCGTTATAGGGAGGTAAAGGTCCATTATAGGGAGGTAAAGGTCCGTTATAGGGAGGTGGGTCCGTTATAGGAGGTAAGGGTCCGTTATAGGGGGTAAAGTTCGTTATAGGCAGGTAAAAGTCCGTTATAGGGAGGTAAAAGTCCGTTATAGGGAGGTAAAAGTCCGTTATAGGGAGGTAAAAGTTCGTTATAGGAGGTAAAGGTCCGTTATAGGAGGTAAAAGTCCGTTATAGGGAGGTAAAAGTCCGTTATAGGGAGGTAAGGGTCCGTTATAGGGAGGTAAGGGTCCGTTATAGGGAGGTAAAACAGTAGGGAGGTAAAAGTCCGTTATAGGGAGGTAAAAGTCCGTTATAGGAGGTAAAGTCCGTTAGAGGTAAAGTCCGTTATAGGAAGGTAAAAGTCCGTTATGTAAAACTGTTATAGGAGGTAAGGGTCCGTTATAGGGAGTAAAAGGTCCGTTATAGGGAGGTAAAGTCCGTTATAGGAGGTAAAAGTCCGTTATAGGAAGTAAACTGTTATAGGAGGTAAAGTCCGTTATAGGGAGGTAAAAGTCCGTTATAGGAGGTAAGGTCCGTTAGGAGGTAAGGTCCGTTATAGGAAGGTAAAGGTCCGTTATAGGGAGGTATCCGTTATAGGGAGGTAAAGTCCGTTATAGGGAGGTAAAAGTCCGTTATAGGGAGGTAAAAGTCCGTTATAGGAGGAAAGTCCGTTATAGGGAGGTAAAAGTCCGTTATAGGGAGGTAAAAGCCTATAGGGAGGTAAGGGTCCGTTATAGGGAGGTAAAGCTGTTATAGGAAGGTAAAGGTTCGTTATAGGGAGGTAAAAGTCCGTTATGGGAGGTAAAAGTCCGTTATGAGGTAAAAGTCCGTTATAGGGAGGTAAAAGTTCGTATAGGGAGGTAAAGGTCTTTATAGGGAGGTAAAAGTCCGTTATAGGGAGGTAAAAGTCCGTTATAGGGAGGTAAAAGTCCGTTATAGGGAGGTAAAAGTCCGTTATAGGAGGTAAAAGTCCTAGGGAGGTAAGTCCGTTATAGGAGGTAAAGTCCGTTATAGGAGGTAAAAGTCCGTTATAGGGAGGTAAAAGTCCGTTATAGGGAGGTAAAAGTCCGTTATAGGGAGGTAAGGGTGAAACAGAGTAATACAAGTGGTGACCCGCAAGACGTTTAGGAAGATCAAGTGGTCTCCTATGGTCTCCTGTGGTCTCCTGTGGTTTCCTATGGTCTCCTGTGGTCTCCTATGGTCTCCTGTGGTCTCCTATGGTCTCCTGTAGTCTCCTATGGTCTCCCTGTAGTCTGCTATGGTCTCCTGTGGTCTCCGTGGTCTCCCTATGGTCTCCCCTGTGGCCCTGCCCCTGTAGTCTGCTATGGTCTCTTATGGTCTCCTGTGGTCTCCTATGGTCTCCTGTGGTCTCCTATGGTCTCCTATGGTCTCCTATGGTCTCCTGTGTCTGCTATGGTCTCCTTATGGTCTCCTATGGTCTCCTGTGGTCTCTTGTGGTCTCCTGTGGTCTTGTATGGTCTCCTCAGATCTCCTATTGTCTCCTATGGTCTCCTGTGGTCTCCTGTGGTGTCCTGTGGCCTGGTTCATGGTCTCCTGGGTCTCCTATGGTCTCCTGTGGTCTCCTATGGTCTCCTGTGGTTCCTGGCCCTGATCTCCTTGGGTCTCTATGATCTCCTGTGGTCTCCTATGGTCTCCTGTGGTCTATGGTCTCTGTGATCGCCTATGGTCTCCTGTGGTCTCCTATGGTCTCCTGTAGTCTGCTATGGTCTCTTATGGTCTCCCATGGTCTCCTATGGTCTCCTGTGGTCTCCTGTGGTCTCCTATGGTCTCCTGTAGTCTGCTATGGTCTCTTATGGTCTCCTATGGTCTCCTGTGGCTCCCTATGGTCTCCTGTGGTCTTTTGGTCTCCTGTGGTCTATGGTTCCAGATCTCCTATGGTCTCCTGTGGTCTCCTATTGTCTCCTGTTGTCTCCTATGGTCTTGTGTGGTTCCTATCGTCTCCTGTGGACTTGTATGGTCTCCTGTGATCATTGTCTCCTATGGCTCTGTGGTCTCCTATGGTCTCCTGGTGTCCTATGGTCTCCTGTGGTCTCCTGTGGTCTCCTGTGATCTCCTGTGGTCTCCCTGTGGTCTCCTGGTCTCCTGTGGTCTCCGGTGTCTCCTATGGTCTCTGCCCCTATGGTCCTGGTGTCTCCTGTGGTCTCCTGGTGTCTCCTATGGTCTCCTGTGGTCTCCTGTGGTCTCCTGTCGTCTCCTATGGTCTCTGCAGTCTCCTATGGTCTCCTATGGTCTCCTGTGGTCTCCTGGTGTCTCCTGTGGTCTCCTATGGTCTCCTGGTGTTCCTTCCTTATGGTCTCATGTGGTCTCCTATGGTCTCCTGTGGTCTCCTGTGGTCTCCTATGGTCTCCTGTGGTCTCCTATGGTCTCCTGTGGGTCTGGTCTCCGACCTATGGTCTCCTGTGGTCTCTCTATGGTCTCCTGTGGTCTCCTGTGGTCTCCTGGTGTCTCCTTATGGTCTCCTGTGGTCTCCTGTGGTCTCCTTTGTCTCCATTACTGAGGGTACTCCTGGTCTCTCCCACTGGTGAACGTTAGTCTGGCGGTGGTTAGCCTATTTGTCGTTAGTTTCATTCCTTCCCACTCTTCCTTTCCTCCTCTCCTCCTTCTCCCTCCATCCTCTCCTTTCCCTCTCTCCCCTCTCCTGTAATTACTTCCATTCACCTGAACTCCCTAACTATCTACCTGTAATTCTCCATTCACCTGAAATTACCCTAACTATCTACCTGTAATTACTCTATCTACCAAAATTCTTAACTATCTACCTGTAATATTTCATCTACCTGAAATTACCCAACTATCTACCTGTAATTACTCTATCTACCTGTGAAATTACCCTAACTATCTACCTGTAATTACTCTATCTACCTGAAATTACCCTAACTATCTACCTGTAATTACTCTATCTACCTGAAATTACCCTAACTATCTACCTGTAATTACTCTTTCACCTGAAATTTCTCCTAACTTTCATCTACCCGTAATTTATTCTATCTACCTGAAATTACCCTAACTATCTACCTGTAATTACTCCATCACCTGAAATTACCTTAACTATCTACCTGTAATTACTCTATCATCTGAAATTCATCTCTAACTATCTACCCAGTACTCTATCTACCTGAAATTACCCTTTAATCCATCTACCTGTAATTACTCTATCTACCTGAAATTACCCTAACTATCTACCTGTAATTACTCTATCTACCTGAATTTATATCCCTAATTATCTATTGAATTTCTTTATCTTGTAATTACTCTATCTACCTGAAATTACCCTAACTATCTACCTGTAATTACTTATCTACCTGAAATTACCCTAACTATCTACCTGTAATTACTCTATCTACCTGAAATTACCCTAACTATTCACCTGTAATTACTCTATCTACCCGTAATTACTTCCATTCACCTGAAATTACCCTAACTATCTACCTGTAATTACTCTATCTACCTGAAATTACCCTAACTATCTACCTGTAATTACTCTATCTACCTGAAATTACCCTAACTATCTACCTGTAATTACTCTATCTACCTGAAATTACCCTAACTATCTACCTGTAATTACTCTATCTACCTGAAATTACCCTAACTATCTACCTGTAATTACTCCATCCACCGAAATTCCTAACTATCTACCTGTAATTACTCTATCTACCTGAAATTACCCTAACTATCTACCTGTAATACCTATCTACCTGAAATTACCCTAACTACCGTAATTACTCTACCTGTAACTACCTATAACCCGTAATTATAAACCATTGTCACTAGTTATAGGTTAAGGTATAACTGTAATACATTCTTGCGTTATACTCACGGTTAATTAATTATCTCTACAGGTAAGCCGGGAGGTGCAGTGACGTCACGAGTGTACAGGTAGGTGACGTATCTATGACGACAATAACAATAATAATAATAACAATAATAATAATAACTTCTGTCTCTCAATATCTCTATCACTGACTCTCTTTCTCCCCTTCTCTCTCTCTCTCTCTCTACACACACACACACACACACATGTTGTCATCACCGGGGAAATATTGATGTGGTTTTTGTATTGATCCGATTCAGTCGGATTCACAGCAGCTACTTCTTGGAAAATGGATTACGAAATAGTGATGGGTGTGTGTGGTGGTAGTGGTGGTGTGGTGGTGGTGTAGTGGTGGTGGTGATTGATAGTAATAATGAACACTATTTGATTTTTTTTTTACCTGGCCTCCAGCCTCCCTATAGCCACACCTTCGCCGCCATTTTATTACCTTGAAATTAAATATCGTAATACAGTACTACTATTTTACTACAAGTACTAAATTTTACCCACAACAACAACAACAACAACAACAACCCCTACCCTAACCTAACCTAGCACTACCCTAATCTAACCTAACCTACCCTACTCCCTAATTCCTAACCACCCTAACTTACCCTAACCTAACCTAGCACTACCCTAACCTAACCCACTTAACCTAACCTAGCACTAACCTAACCTACCCTTAACCTACCCTACCCTCTAACCTACCCCACCTCATACCCTAACCTAACTCCACCCACCCCACCCTAACCTACCCTAACCTTACCCTAACCTAACTCCACCTAACCTCACCCCAACTCCCACCTTAACCTACTCCCACCCCCACCCCACCCCTAATCTCTACCCCAATCTTACTTAACCTACCCTACCCTTAACCTCACCCTAACCTACCCTAACCTAACCTACCCACCCCACCCTAACCTACCCTAACCTACCCTTAACCTACTCCCACCCCTAACCTACCCCTACCCCTACCCCTACTCCTACCCTCCCTCTTAACCCACTCCCACCCACCCTAACCCATCCTAACTCAACACCCTAACCTAACCCACCCTAACCTAACCTAGCACCACCCCACCCTACCCCACCCTAACCTACTCCCTAACCCACCCTACCCTACTCCCTACCCTAACCTAACCTAGCACTAACCTAACCTACCCTACCCTACCCTACCCCACCCTAACCT